GGCATCTACATCTGCAGAACGTGAAGAACCAGTGGCATCTACAGAACGTGAAGAACCAGTGGCATCTACATCTGCAGAACGTGAAGAACCAGTGGCATCTACATCTGCAGAACGTGAAGAACCAGTGGCATCTACATCTGCAGAACGTGAAGAACCAGTGGCATCTACATCTGCAGAACGTGAAGAACCAGTGGCATCTACATCTGCAGAACGTGAAGAACCAGTGGCATCTACATCTGCAGAACGTGAAGAACCAGTGGCATCTACATCTGCAGAACGTGAAGAACCAGTGGCATCTACATCTGCAGAACGTGAAGAACCAGTGGCATCTACATCTGCAGAACGTGAAGAACCAGTGGCATCTACATCTGCAGAACGTGAAGAACCAGTGGCATCTACATCTGCAGAACGTGAAGAACCAGTGGCATCTACATCTGCAGAACGTGAAGAACCAGTGGCATCTGCAGAACGTGAAGAACCAGTGGCATCTACATCTGCAGAACGTGAAGAACCAGTGGCATCTACATCTGCAGAACGTGAAGAACCAGTGGCATCTACATCTGGAACGTGAAGAACCAGTGGCATCTACATCTGCAGAACGTGAAGAACCAGTGGCATCTACATCTGCAGAACGTGAAGAACCAGTGGCATCTACATCTGCAGAACGTGAAGAACCAGTGGCATCTACATCTGCAGAACGTGAACCAGTGGCATCTACATCTGCAGAACGTGAAGAACCAGTGGCATCTGCAGAACGTGAAGAACCAGTGGCATCTACATCTGCAGAACGTGAAGAACCAGTGGCATCTACATCTGCAGAACGTGAAGAACCAGTGGCATCTACATCTGTAGAGGAGGCGTTGACAAACCATGGCATCCTACATCGGTAGAACGTGAAGAACAGTGGATCTACATCTGCAGAACGTGAAGAGCCAGTGGCATCTACATCTGTAGAACGTGACGAACCAGTGGCATCTACATCTGTAGAACGTGACGAACCAGTGGCATCTACATCTGCAGAACGTGAAGAACCAGTGGCATCTACATCTGCAGAACGTGAAGAACCAGTGGCATCTACATCTACAGAACATGAAGAACCAATGGCATGTACATCTACAGGAGATTACTTTTTTTGAGAGGAGGCGTAGTAGCAGTAGTAGCGCCGTTGATTTTTTATAAAGACATCGTTACCTCACCGCAAAACACCGTAGCGCCGTGACCGCCGCCACACTCTACCATAGCCGGCACCAAAACTGTGCCACACACGCTTGCTTCCCCCTCCCGCACGGGCCTTGTGGTGAGAGCCTCGGTACCGGTTGAAAGTTCTTTTAC